CTGGGTAAAAACTTTGGGGGCCCCCACCTCAACTATTACTGGCTGCCTATCATGGTGAGTGACCGCCCCCCCCCCACTCTCTGCCTTACCCCCTTAACTCCCCAAAGCAATCATAACAGGCTTGTGTCTTCCAGACCTCCATCCTGGGAGCTTATGTCATTGCCAGTGGCTTCTTCAGTGTTTTTGGCATGTGTGTGGACACACTCTTCCTCTGTTTCTGTGAGTGACCCTTCTATCACCTCTCCCAACATCAAGGTACAGGCCAGTTCAGGCTTTTTTGAGGACTTGGTGCTTTTCGAAATAGTAACTTTTTGAGTTAAAGGAGTCAAAGCCAAAGGGAGCCTCTTCTGATATCCTCAGGCCAAGAGTTTGGGGAAAGGAGGGAGAAGTTAGCTTCTAGGTTGGTGGTCTGCTCCAAGATAGAGCCTCCCAGGGGAGAGGCCACCTGGTATCATCCCGCAGGAAACTTCGGGTAGAAGTAATCCTCATGAGACTTCCCAGCAGGTGGCTGTAGTGAGCAAGGATTTTCTTATCCTGTATACATCCATTCAGGCTTTAGTAATAGACAGGTATTTTTTTCCCTTAATCCTTATCAGGCTATGAAATATACTATTACTGACCCCACTTTACAGATAAGGAAACTGAGACTACATAACCTACCTAGAAAATTACAAAACCTGTCCCCCAAAACAGCCATTGGTGGTATACAGTCTAGAAACCCGACGGCTTGTCTCTCATTCCGGGATTTTCCCGGGAGTGCGGAGGCCCCCAGGGTCCACTCTAACTTGTTTATGTCGTGGCTCAGTGGAAGACCTGGAGCGGAACGACGGCTCGCCGGATCGGCCCTACTACATGTCCAAGGCCCTTCTGAAGATTCTAGGCAAGAAGAACGAGACGCCCCCAGGGGACAAGAGGAAGAAGTGAGAGAGAGAGACGCGGCCTTAACCCGGGGCTGCACCCCGCATGTACAGCCTCCTAGCTTCATTCCGCCTTTCAGATCTTGATTTTGTAGTAAAATACTTTATTAAAGATTGATGTTTTGTTTTCTCAAAAAGTTTGGTACTGCTTTCATTCTCTCCTCGAAAAGCTACCCTTTTCTCCCCGCCTGGCACTTTAAAATACGCCCCCGCCCCTGCGACGCGCCCCAGCTGCCGTGGCCAATCATAAGGCTCCTGGGGAGTAATGCCGGCCCCTTCTTCACCCCAGCCAATACGCTTCCCTCCTGGGTCACGCGCGTCCGGGCTTCAAAGAGGGCCAATAGGAAGAGCTACCTTGGAAGCGCCGAAGGGTCACGTGGAGTCGGAGTGTGAGAGGACCAATTAGAATCGCGGAAGCGCAGTGACTAGGCGTGGGACGTGTTGCTGGGGGGAAGGGGTGTGTGACACCTGAGAGTTTAGAGGGTCGGGGTCAGCTGACTGACTCCAGCCCCGATTTAGTCCTGACGGCCAGTGTTGCGGTCGCCACGGAGTAGAGATGACAGCGGAACGACCCCGCACAGTACTCCTGGGCAGACATGGGGGACCGCGGATGCTGGGGTATAGGGGAGTCTGTAGGGTTCAGGTATTTGCTGTGAACTTCTTGTTGCTGTTGTCTGCGGCAGTATTCGGGGCTAGGGCAGAGAAAGACTTCAGTATGGTGAGTCACCGCTCGCATAGCGCTACCCCGGACCCACTCGGGCTGTCTGTTTCTGCTTGTCCGCTAGTAGCGGGCTATTGAACTCCCTTTCCTCCGCCGGCGTTTGAATGTTCTCTGCGGGACCTTGTTTCCTCTATCTGCTCCCAGCCCTCTATGTCTTCAGGCCCTTGTCTTCCTCCTCTTCCTCCTCATTCGAGCTCCTTCCCCTTTTGAAGTCCCCTCTTCTTCCCGAGGGCACCTTTTCCCCCTCGTAGCCCCTCCGCCGCTCCAAGGCCCCAGCTTCCCTCCAAACTCTCCTCTGGATTCCCCTTCCTTGTTCTGGGATCCCCGCCCCCTATCGAGATCACCTTCACCCTGCCTCTTCCAGGGGAACCTGACTCTGAGCCGCTATTCATCCGTCCTAAAACCCCAAGTCAAGTTCGTCCGTGTTGACCCTTCCTCTTCCCTTCGCAGGTTCAGCCGCTGGTGACCATGGAGCAGCTGCTGTGGGTGAGCGGGAGGAAGATCGGCTCTGTGGACACCTTCCGCATCCCGCTCATCACAGCCACTCCTCGGGGCACTCTCCTTGCCTTTGCTGAGGCCAGAAAAATGTCCACGTCTGATGAGGGAGCCAAGTTCATTGCTCTGCGGAGGTCCATGGACCAGGGTATAAAGATTCCTGGGTGACAAGAGCTGGTGTTAGATTGGATGGGTGGGGAGCCTGACACGCTTTGACGTAGGGGAACTTAGAGGGCTGGAAGCCTCGGTTCCTGAGAAGGAGAGGTAACCTAAGGAGAGAAGGTGTCCAGGGCAGTGATCTGGAAATTGGAATCACCAAGGAGTTGAACATTCCTTCAGTGAGCACTTACCGTATACCTGGCACTATTCTAGGTTCTGTGAATATAGTTATGAACAAAACAGCAAAAAATCCCTGCTGTCACAGGGTTTATATTCTATTGGGAGGAGACAGACAATAAGCATAATAAATAAGTAAATGTATTTTTGTGTTGAAAGGCGATAAATGCAATGAAGAAAAATAAAACAGGATAAGAGGTATGGGGAGTGCTGGAGGTTGATTATAATTTTCAGTAGGTAACATTTAAGCAAAGACTCAAAGGAGGTGGCCGAGTAAGCCTGGAGGAGGAGTACACCAGGCAGATGTGCAAAGGCCTCGAGTAAGGAAGTGTTTGAGGAATAAAGAGGAGTCTGTATATGGCTGGATGGAGTGAGTGAGAGCAAAATAGTTAAGGTCAAAAAGGTAAGGAAGGGCAGGCCTTATAGGCCCTGGAGCCATTGTAAGGTCTTGGGTCCCTAGTAGGAAGTGAAGGTTACAGGGAGGGGTAGAAAGGGCACTTCAAGAGTGCTCATCCTGGGTTTCTTCCCTTTTTTCTTCAGGCAGCACGTGGTCTCCTACAGCATTCATTGTGGATGATGGGGAGACCCCTGATGGGCTGAACCTAGGGGCAGTGGTGAGCGATATTGATACAGGAGTAGTATTCCTTTTCTACTCCCTGTGTGCTCACAAGACTGGCTGCCAGGTAGCCTCCACCATGTTGGTATGGAGCAAGGACGATGGTGTTTCCTGGAGCCCTCCCCGGAACCTCTCCTTGGATATCGGCACTGAGATGTTTGCCCCTGGACCGGGCTCTGGCATTCAGGTCTCTGTCCTGAGACTGGTGGAGGGGGCTGCCTTGTAGAGTTTGGGAGATGCCCCTAAATGGACTCCTTCCCAGGGTGAAGGTCTCGTGAAGTCAGAGTTTCTGTCTTAGATGGGATCCCTTGTAATAAAGGGATATCCTGGGAGGAACACCTTACCACGGGAAGATGGAACTTCCCATCTGTACTAATCCATGTGGTGCCTGTGCAAATTAGAAAAAAACACCCCTTTGGGCAGACACAAGTGTGTGCCATGGTGCAAAGCTTGGTGGTTGAGCACAGGTTGGGTTTAAGCTCCCATCCCAGCTGGGCCCCTTCGTCCTGTGCACAACCTGTCCAGCATATGCCCTGGATGTCCCAAAGGAGCTTGTTCTCCAAAAGAGCGTCTTAATTCAGGCAGTGGCTGTGAGATCCTTCTGGGACCCTCAGCAAGCAAGGACAGAACTAGAGGGGACCAGATGTGTCTTCACACTTAGGAGGTCATGGGTTCCCCTTCCCCTTCTCTGAGCCTACCTCAGTGTCTCTCTCTGTAACACCCAGCTCCCTTTCCCACAGAAACAGCGGGAGCCACAGAAGGGTCGACTCATCGTGTGTGGCCATGGGACACTGGAGCGGGATGGGGTCTTCTGCCTCCTCAGTGATGACCATGGTGCCTCCTGGCACTATGGCAGTGGGGTCAGCGGCATCCCTTATGGCCAGCCGAAGCGGGAAAATGATTTCAACCCCGATGAGTGCCAGGTCGGGAGTCAATGGGCTGTTTCCCACCCACTCCACTTGCCCTGTCCTCCAGAGTACCTTTTCACTCACAGACCCAGAGTCTGGCTCCCAGCTTTGTGCCACCCAGCCTTGCTTCCTCAGGGACAGGGCTCTTTGCCGGGCCCCCTGCCTGGATCTTCCTGAAGTCCTGTTCTCTCTCCTTAGCCCTATGAGCTCCCAGATGGCTCAGTTGTAATCAATGCCCGGAACCAGAACAACTATCACTGCCACTGCCGAATCGTCCTTCGCAGCTACGATGGCTGTGATACACTGAGGCCCCGTGATGTAACCTTTGACCCCGAGCTCGTGGACCCTGTTGTAGCTGCAGGAGCTGTAGCCACCAGCTCCGGCATTGTCTTCTTCTCCAACCCAGCCCATCCAGAGTTCCGTGAGTGTCTGCCAGATGGTGTGGGTGGGGGAGCCCCTGTTGTCTGGAGAAGGCCTAGGCAGAGACTATCCTTCCCTGACTCTGCTGCTGTCTCTAGGAGTGAACCTGACCCTGCGCTGGAGCTTCAGCAATGGTACCTCATGGCGGAAAGAGACGGTCCAGCTCTGGCCAGGGCCCAGTGGCTACTCATCATTGGCAGCACTGGAGGACAGTGTGGGCAGGGAGAACCAGGCCCCCCAGCTCTTCATCCTGTATGAGAAAGGCCGGAACCACTACACAGAGAGCATCTCCCTGGCCAAAGTCAGCATATATGGGACGCTCTGAGCTGTACACCTGCCACAAGGGTAGAAGACACTGGACTCAGCCTTCAGGACCATGGGCTAAAGATGCCTAAAAGACAGTTTCACCTTCATTTAGACCCTAGCCTTTTGCAAAATCAACTTTTCTTTGACAGGGAAATAACTCCGTTAGGACTAAAAGCCTGTCTTCTACTCCCGCACAGGAAGTTCTGCCCCCACCTGGGAGCATTTCCTTTCCACATCACTGGGTCTGGCCCCCTTACCCTTTCTTCTCACCCAGGACAATAATTGATCCTTTTTCTTGGGCAGGGTTAGGTGAGCCTTTAGAATTGAATAATGTGAACTCAGGGAATTGGGGAAGGCTGAGCTTCCTCTTTGAGGTAAGGTACTGGCTTTGGAGAAGATTGGTGAAGGTCCTGGGAGGGCAGGATGTTTGCTTTCAGGGTAAGAAAGTAGATGCACCACCTACCTTTACTATTATGAATCAAAATGTTTGTAACAGAACGTTTTTAATGAAGGACAATGAACATGTGCAGTCTGTGGTTTGGTCAGTGCCCATCTTCATGTCTGTGTGCCTCATGTACACCATGAGGCTGGGAATGAGCTGGGGAGGAAGCTAATGTGCTTATGGCCTCTGAAAATCTGACTTTGGCAAATCAAGTACTTCTTTCCCTTTCACGTTCTTTCTTAGCCCAGAAAAACAGATTGATCTTCACTGGTGTAATGCAGAGTGGGAGGGGGACCCTCAAATATATTTAAAAATCTGCTCTGTTTTGTATTTCTAAAATGAGTGGGGTGCTGTCCTCCACAAGGCAGGAAGCAGGTGTGTACAATGCAGATGGGAAGCCTCTTCCCAAGCCAGCTTGTTAGAGAATAAACACAAATTTTGAGAAAAGAAACAGCATCTTCATCCTAAAGCAGATGCTGAGAAAAGAACCTGGGCAGCTGTAGGTGGTGGGAGAGCCACAGCTTTCCTCCACTTGGAAACAAAATACAATGCCTAGATGAGGTGGTAAGAATGTCTTTCAGATAGAGGGATGAAGGCTACATTCATCTGCAGTTAGAGGTTTCACTTTCAACTGCTTCTCTAGGAAATGTTAGGGTAATTTATTCTACTGATGAAAAAAGTGGAATAATCCCACTGTATGTGAATACATGGTATAATTTTATTTTATTATATTTTATCCATAATTTGTGATCAATAATGCATTCCTTCAATTTTTTCATTTGTAGACATTTTCAAAAACACTCAAAAGTAAATAGCTTAATGAGCCCCATGTACCAAACATCCAGTTTCAACAGTTATCAAGATGTTGCCATGTTGCTTCTGATCCTTTTTTCTACTCCTTTCCTTTGCTGAAGTATTTTAAAGCCAATCCCACACCTCATGACATTAACCCCTTCGTTCTTAAGTATTCATCTCATTCTTTTAAACAGCATTTATTATATAACCATCGCACACCCAAAACATGAATAATAATGCTGTGGTATCACCCAATAACCAGTCCATGTTCAAATTTCATTGTGTCTCAAAAATGACTTAGTAGACCCGTTCAAATCAGGATCCAAAGAAAATCTACACATTGCATTTCGATGTCTCCTAAGTTTAACTTACAGTAGTCCTACTGCCCCCTTTTTTCATACCATCTACACAGAAATAGGATCATTTGTTCCACTCTGGATTCATCGGTTATGTCTTCAGAGTATCATTTACTTCTTTCTCTGTTCCTTATATTTCCAGTTAACAAACCTGAAGTTTTAATTGGATTCAGATTCCATTTGAGGGGACAAGATTTCTTCACAGGTGCTGTGTGCTTCTTGCACTGCCCGCCCCCGCCCCAGGACAGGAGGCAAGTACTGTCCTACCCTGTGAGTAAAGAAAAGGTTGAGCAGTGGGTTCAGGTGGCCATAGCTTGATCCCTCCTTTGTAAGGTTCCCCTGTCAACCTTCCAACTGACAATTTCATCTACAGATGAATTTTACCTGAATCAATTATTTAATGAGGGGTATGAAGTGTTGATTTTAAAATTCTGTTGTTTTGTCCTCATTTATTAGCTGCAATTCTTCAGTAAAAAACGGCTTGTCCTCTTCAAGGCTGTTGGGTTATCCTAAAGCATGGTTTGTATGGGAAAGGCAGAATAAGTGCTAAATATCCCTCTTTAATTGCCAGTTCTCGGAGTAAACTGATAAAATACTTTGCCCTGGCCATAAACCACGTTGTTACTACACAGGAGGCACATGTGGAGGCAGAACCTGTGGGCCCACAGGAGGAAGCAGGGGGACATGTAAGAGAAAAAGAACAAGGAGAGAAACAGGCAGCATGGTTGTGGAGTCTGCTTTTCTAACACAGATCACAAAATAGATATGATGCAAAGAAGAATTGCAGCAACTGGGACATCTGCTGTTTAACAACCACTAAAAATTACACATCTGACAGTCTTGCTGACAATATTATTTACCCGAAATAGTGGAGGGAAGAGAGGAAATACCATGCATGACCCATGAGCTTTGTGAAGTAGAAGTGGTAGGAGTCTTTTGAGAAAGTGACTATGTTCTTTCCTCATAGCCAAGAACCCTGAGCTAAGAAAGAGGACCCTTGAGGAAGGACCTCCTCCTGAGGAGGGGGTGGGGCAGAGCTCATTATAAACCAGAGCCCTGAGCCCTACCCCAGACCTGCCAGTCCAGTATCTCTAGAATCAGTCCAAGACTTTGCATTTGTAATAGGAACTGCAGGAGACTCTAATGCTGGGGTCCCTGGATTGCACTTTGAGGAACATTCTCTTAGTTAACCTGGACTGAAGAAGCATCGATTTCAAAACATTGAAGGAAAAAATCTCAAAAGAGAAACTTTTAACAGAAGAAATCGTGTCTAAAGAAACCAATAACCATAAGAGCTGGCAGGAACCAAACCTGCCTGTTTTCTCAGGCATCTTGAATGCCCACCACAATACCTGGCGATGGTAGGTGCTTAATATAGGAGAAAAGACAAGTCCAAGATGGGTAATGTCAACATAAGAACATCTAAACCAGTAGAGAATTTTTATAAGATTTTATGTGAGCCAAACTGGTGACATTGCCAGGAAGCAAGATCTCAAATGCTCCAAAGAATGACAGTTTTGCAGTTTCTTTTATACATTTGAAATTAAGGAGGAAACACAAGAAAGATTAGGTAAAGGTGGGAGAAAGCAAAGCGAGGATTAGATTACAGGATAGTTACCAAGAGTGTGTGCTCTCCTGAGGTTGGTTATGCTTCAGAGGGGTCTGAGAAAGAGGTGTTTCAAATGTATGTTAACCTAGATGCACAGAAACAATGGACGGGGCTTGCTTAAGGCAAAGATAAATCACTAAAGAAGTTATATGCCTGGGATGTGGCTACCCACTATGACCTGCTCAGTTAGAAATCTATGATCAGATCACCCTGTGAGGTTACTTCTGGTCAGATTTATTACAGCTCAAAGGCTGTCTGCCTCTTTGTAAGTAAAGTAACAACGGGCCACATCTTCAGTTGAGTAAAGTGACCTCTGTCTTTGTTCTTGATGGAGAAAAAAGAAAAGAAAGAAAAGTTCACACCTGGAGGACTGGGGCCAGAAATCACATTTCCTGTGACCTCCAAATCAGCAAGCTACAAGTTTAATGGTACAAGATATTTTTTCTCCCTTAGGTGAGGCAACCCTTGGTTGACCTCACAGATTGCAAGGACTTGTCAGCTTACAATCCCTTATTATTTTATTTTATTTTTTATGCCTACAGCACCTGCTCTTCCTAGGTGGTCTCCCATCCAAGTACTAACCAGGCCCAACCTTGCTTAGCTTAGAAGATCAGACAAGATCGGGCTTGTTCAGGGTAGCATGGCCGTAGACTATGGTACCAGATCTTAAGCTCTGTGAATACATATTGGTGAATACATATTGTTTATTAGTCTTCTTTAAATTGTACATAATTACCAGATACACTTTTGTACATATTATATATTTTACAACAAATAAAACAGAAGGAAAAAGATAAATGGAGAACTCTGACTAACTTGGCAAATATAGAGCCACACAGATGGTGGTGTCCTGAGCAAATGATCCCAGTGTGCATCAAGAAAGGGTGAGGGTGGAGGGAGGAGTGGAGATCTATAATCAGCTTTTGCTGCAGACTCCAAGCCCAGCTGACTTTGCTATATTCCTATCAATTAACCAATTTAACAGATGTGTGATGTTTGACTTCTACCATGCTTGGCTCTGATATTTGGAATCCCTGGAAATGCTGAGATGCTCTTGCAGGTGGAAGCCTGGTAGAGAGCAACATCCAGGGACTAACATAGGTTCACTGAGAATGTCATGCCAACCTTAATGGCAGTTCCTTGACCACAGTTCTAAAAAGAGAGATCAGAGGAATGCCAGTGTGTCCGTATGTCTGGGTCTCAGCAGGGCATTTGATAAAGTCAGAGGGACCACAGGGGAATTTCTTGCACCCATGTATACAAAAAAGAGGTGAAATTCATTTCCTACCATTGGAGGAGACTTTGTAGCAACTCCTTACATATACAATACTATAAATAAAGAAAAACAATGAATCATTTATCCTGCCTTTGCAGTTAGAACAAGTAATTCAGGTTAGACAAAGTACCAATTGATGAAAGATGACTTATTTATTACTTATTTTCCAGAAGAATGTCAGCTAATAAGCACGGGGAAAAAATAATCAAATTAGAAAACCATCATTTTACAAACTTAAATAATTAACTCAGGTAAAGAAGTTCACAGCATGTCACCCCAAAATATGCTAATAGCATATTGATTACTTTGAGCTAAAGGCACTTGAGAAACAGCAAGTGCAAGAAGGACACTCTGACCTTCCTTTTTCTTCCTGAAAGCAGGAGATAAATCTCCCATTTGAAAGGTACCCTCTCCAGCAGAAAGGAAGACATTCTTTTTGTCAAGGATGAGAAATTTAAAACTTCTATCCAAACAGCCTTGCTAAAATAATTCTTATCTTCATTTAGCCTCCCCACATAGGTTAGTCACTTTTTCACAACTGCCTGTCTGTTCGACCTAACATAAATGCCAGTGGATTTCACCATTTCTTTGGGTCTTCATTCCTTATTAAGGCTCCCATGTCATGTAAAACTTATATGAAACACATTTGTATGTTTTTCTCCTGTTAATCTGTCTTTGTTAATTTTTAGACCTAGACAGGGACCCTATGGGGGTCAAAGGAAATTTTTCCCTCCTCTATACAGGGAAAGATCATCAATGGATGCTAAAATTATTAAAGTTTGTTGGGAAACTGGATATTCATTCATATGATGTCAAAGAATTATCACAATTTTACCAATCAGAAGAAGGGGGAAAGTACTTCTACAATGAAGAGTTCTGGGGGTCATTACTTTACCTGAGTGATCAAACTGAGATCAAGAATAATGGAATAAGTAGACATTATGATCCCCTGATATAGGGCATTGTAGAGTACATAGCATGGGGTAGACTAAAAAATGATTCCCCAGGAGATATCCACATCCTTTTCCCTTGAAATCTGTGAATGTGACTTTATACAAGGAAAAAGGTTTTGCAGATGTGATTAAATCAAGGATCTTGCAATGGAGAGATTATCTTGGATGACCCGGGCAAACCCCAAATACAATCACATATATAGTTATAAAAGGGAGGCAGAGGAAGATTCGAAATACACAGTGAAGAGGAGGCAATATGAGATCGGATTGATGTAGCCACAAATCAAGGCATGCCAGGAGCCACCAGAAGCTGGAAGAGACAAGGAACAGATTCTTCCCTAGTCTCTGGAGGGGACAAGACCCTGTAAAAGCTGATTTTGGCCCAGTGAAACCGTTTTGGATTTCTGGCTTCCCGAAGTGAAAGGGAATAAATCTGTTTTTTTAAACCACCAAATTCATAAT